TGCTGAATCCTTCATAATCTCACAATTTTATGACCCAAGCCACTATCCTCTGGGATCTGGAATGCACCTCAGGATAAAGACAGGAGACCAGATGTTCTATATGGAGCAATGGGGTCTGCAAAGTGGGATTTCACATCAGTTGAAATTCCCCAACCCCAATATGCACCCAGTATTCTCTTTCAGAATATTCAATTCAGACTGCCTGAGCAGGGTTTTATGCTGTGCTTTGGGATCCTGACCTCAAAGATTTAAATAGGTTTGATCTCACTTTGTGAAAAACAATGCAACTTTCCCCAAATTGTCCAAGTAATTGTCAGGTTGCAACCCAGTAAAGCAGAGGGCCAAAGGGGGAAATTTTCCAGACAGCCGCCATGTCAGTGATAGGGGCTGGGATCTGGAAATGATCCCCTCTCACACTCATATTCTAAGAGCTTAAGATTCTACCCAATACTTCAGGTCTGATCTTTGATTGAAAACATTGTTAGCTTGAAACCTTAGCTCTGTTTCTCTTTTCACAGACGCTTCCAGACCTGCTGTGCATTTTCAGCATTTTCTGTGAAATGACTGCAGTCTGAGCCTATATACATCTACCAGTGGTCTTCAGACCTCGAGCTATCAAAAAGCACAAAATTTGAGAGGATGAGAGATGGCGTCCCTCTATTAGCAGTTTCCATTTCTTAGCACCTTTCAGGATGAGGGTTAGGTAGAAAATGGTGCACATTGCAGAAACTTACGGTTATCCAGGCTGACCACAGAAGTACCCAGTGCTACAGACTGTATGGCACTGGTGCCCATTATCCTGTGGGCCATTTGCATAAAGACACTGAGAGATTAATTAATCCTCCACTTTAGTGTCTGCCACCATCTACTGCAAGAGAGAGAGCAACATATCCAATGACATGGGTATGGTCTGGCAAGTGGGAGAAGCCTTAATATTGAATGTGACGCTGAGGCTGTTATTCTTGACATCTATCTGCTTGACCCTGGCCCACCTCCCCCAACCCATTACAATTTTATCTACAGTAGGGAAGACATTAATAACCGATTAAGGATTTCCTTCTGGCCCCGTTGGTATTTTAAATACTGCAGAGTGGCTAACACCAAATATGCAGCCCAGCAAATTTCACAGTAATGGCATAGAAACCTCTTTGACTGAAACAAAAATGGAAATTTCTGGGAAAAGTCAGCAGGTCTGGCAGCATCTGTGGAGAGAAAGCAGAGTTAATGCTCCAAGGCTAGTGAAGGGTCACTAAACTCAAAACGTTAATTTTGCCTTCTATCCACAGATGCTGCCAGACCTGCTGACTTTTCCCAGAAATTTCCATTTTTGTTTCAGAGCTTCAGTATCCGCAGCTCTTTATTATAATCTCTTTATTGGCTCTCTATGCCCATTTGAGGTGTTCTCCAGCACTATCCCCTGATCCCTTTGTTCACCCCCTACGGTTTTCCATTCCCACATTGCTGCACCGGGGTAAGTTCCACTGAATCATTTACTCCAATGTCTTTTCCCTCTATTGCCCTCTTAATATTTTGCTTCTTCAGTTGTCCTTTTTAAATATTCTGCTGCCGTTCGCTTTCCTCTGTGATTATGTGTTCCACATGCCAAGAGAATGCTTCAGAACACGGTGATTGTATTTGAATTCTGGTCTCAGCTATTAAAGGCTGTTTCTGGTTCAGTGTACTATACAGTTCCCCTCTCTTTTAGTTTGCAAAATCTTATAGGAATGGTCTGGCGTATGTATTAGAGAAAGAACTTTTGAGAAAGATATTGACTGGTTCTTCAATGTGAATTATTACAGCAGTAAATCAGACAGAATATTACAAAGCATCGAGTTAGTGGAATGGAACAAAGTTGTGAAAGCTGTTGTCGTTTGGAAAAATGTTTGCTTGATGTGGGAGAGAACAGCAATGAGCCAGTTTATTATGATAGACTTCAATTTCTTAACCTTGCCGGGGTGCAATAATTGATCGCTTTGTACGTTTAGCCTCCCCAGTGATTGGACTGTTTAGGTAATGCTCTTGAAGAACTGAGGAATACGCGAGGCTCAATCATTGAGTTTTAAACCTCGATCACTGTCAAAGGCAAAAAATCCATATTGACCCCAAGCAAGGGTAAATGAAATCATTATGATTGCAAAAAGAACTTAAGAAAATCTTCCCTACATCTGCATTTACTCAGCACTGACACTAAAGACATTAATTGGTACTAAATCTGCTTGGAACTGAAAAGCTTTTATAATGATGGCAATGCCTGAAAGCAGGGCTGAGCACATTAGCAGAAAGTGTATTAACCTCAATACCAAAAATTATTTAGGGAAGTCGTGAATTAGTGAACTCATCTAGAATCTAACAGCACTAATTATTTTATTACATTTTTCTGTCTAGTGCTCGTTAATATGAGAATAAATTTCAAACATAACAAAAGTCAAAGCAACAACGTTCCAAAAGTCAAAACAACAACTTTTCTTATGCAGCAACTTCAAGCGCCCAAAATAATCCAAGGCTTTGTGCAGTAGTATTATCAGACTGAGTTTGGCAGTTCTGAGGAAGGGTCACCGGACCCAAAACGTTAACTCTGACTTTTTCTTCACAGATGCTGCCAGACAAGCTGAGCTTTTCCAGCAACTTCTGTTTTTGTTCCTGATTTACAGCATCCACTTCTTTCGATTTTTAATGGGAATGTTGTTTAGTGATGTTGGTTTGGGATGTATATTAAATAAGACACTGGGTCAATTTCTGAAGAAGGGTCCAGACCCGAAACGTCAGCTTTCCTGCTCCTCTGGTGCTGCCTGGCCTGCTGTGTTCATCCAGCTCCACACCTTGTTATCTCAGACTCCAGCATCGGTAGTTCCTACTATCTCTGGACAATTCCGCTGCTTTTTATTAAATAATCCCAGGGGATCTTCTGTAGGTCCACATTTTTTAAAAAAGCAGCAGAGGTCTTTGTCTTAAAATCCCATCTGCAAGACAGACTACTGAAAGTGCAGCTGTCATTCAGTTCAAACTCATAAACATGGGAGTGAAGCTGAACAAATTGGCTTCACTTCTTGCTTCAGTGTATGGCAAATGTGTGCAACAAACTGCTTGGGAAGGTCAGTAACATCAGATTTAAAAATTTGAAATTGGATGATATTTTAGTAAAATAAACTTTTGAGAATACACATGATAGAATCCAATATAGAGATATAGAACTTTGGAACCAGTGAGATGGATCACAATGATTTTTTCTTCCCCAATCCTGTCATGCGCTATTTAAAGGCACCACCCAATTTAGCAGAACAAATTTTAAAAATTCATTAAGTTTGAATTAAAAGTTTTACTGTTGGCTTTGATTTTACTCTTCCTTACCCAGGAGAGTTGGAATCAGTACTAGCCCTAATCCACTTTGCAGGATTAGGGTGTCCCCAGCAAGAGAAAGTCTACTGTTCCCAACAGGAAATATCCACTTAGACTACTGCTGTGACATTGCAGGAGGCAGGACAGGTTAAAGGCAGCGGCAAAGCCCTGATGTGGTGATTGTTACAAGATCAGCCCGGTGGACCTCATAGAATATGAGGTTCCTGACTAGGGCTGTTAATCTGGTCCAATCATGGAGCCCCGGCTGACAGATAAGAACAGGAGTGTCAGAGGTTCTGTTTGCTCTGACAGCTGGCTCTGAGGAAGCTGGATCAGTGTCAAGGACTCTGCACGTGTAAATAAAGGGTGACTTGGTGATGGGATACTGACCTCTGTTAACCTGGAAATTAAAAAAGGATCTGCAGATGTTAACATCCGAACAGCCACCTCAACAGAGTTCATTCAGCACTGACTGGGAACTCAAACTAGGAAACTGGCTTATGTGACCTGGTAGAAAGTCAGGATTTCAATGGATAATTGATTGAAGAAGTCTTCAGGAGCATATTTACGATGTTTACACATAGTGACCAAAGAAATCTTTAGCCTTTGCTGTCTATTTAAATGGGAGTGAAAAGAATTAATTTTATGTAGCCTCACCATTTTTATTTAAGTTTGTTGTTTTGGAGAAGAGCAGTGCTCAGGAGAAGGTTTTAACAATACTGATAAAAATAAATTAAGCCTACATAAGGAATTTTGTTCATCAGTATTAACTTATATATTCTTACCTCCTTTGTGCAAAATTCCTTTGTCTCCTATTTTGTTGGACAAGTTCGGCTGTTTACCACTCCTTATCCAAAATTTCACATCTTGTAAATGCCTTTCACACTTGAGGTGTCGCATGCAAATATGTCAACAGGATTTTTGAAAAAAAATCATATTTTTATGCTGGCTTAAAGCCTGGAAGTTTCAAACACTTTCTAAACTCTAAATCTCATTAAAATAAAAGTTTAATTCCAAATTTAATGCATTGTGGCCTAAAAGAGTCAGTTAAGGTAAATGTTCAGGCCCATAAATTTGACTGTATCAAACATGTACAGCAAGAGAAGTACAGTGACCAAGTACAATGCTCATGCAAGATGTCTGACCCAATGTTTGGCCAGTCCATTTCTTAGGCTTTGAATAGGGCTTCCTTAAGACTTTAGGCCTTTAAAAAATACAAATGAGGGGCGTTATGTCTTTTATTTAGGATCACTGTAGGAAATAGCTGCCCTGAATAAATGTGGCTTAGCAAATTACAAAAAGCCAAGTAGGAAGTAAAATATTTTCATATAAAATTAGGAATACTCCTCTGAGCACCACAGCATTCTCACCAACCAAGATCAGCTTTCCATCACTGACCAGTTTAGTCTGATCAGCCTAAGGTAATGCAATTTCTTCATTATTTATAGGATGTCGCTGCATGTAAATTGATTTCTGTGCTTGCCACCAACCAATGTCACTGCATCAGTTGTTAATGATGAGAATAGGGTACGATGCTTCTTGTTAGAAATGCAACTTCAACAAAATTTTGTAGAATGGCAAGTTCAAATGCTAATATTCACACTGTAAAACTGCAATCACTTTTGTTAAAAAATGTAGTTATGAAGTTCTGTTTTTCTGAACAGGTTAACTTTGTCTTTCTCTTCAACATTGTGAGGATCCTGATGACTAAGCTGAGGGCATCGACCACATCAGAGACAATGCAGTACAGGTAAATAAAGCCCAGGCGGCCATTATGCAAGTGTGAAGCCCATTTCTCTTACGTTTGACAATTTGGAACCACTCATGAATACAGCAGTCAACTTTGTCTCCAGAGAATATATTTGTTTGCGTTGACCCATGTGAAAAATGCTGAGTTAATGCATCTTTTATGTTCAGCTCTCCTTAAAGCTTGTTACTTCATCACCCAGGTCATTATTATTTAATAGAAGCAGCAAGGACTCCTCATTGCAATAGAGTTATGTATGGATGTTCCACTCTTAAAAGTAGGTTTTATGCTTAACTGACCTGCTCGCTGTAAGGGGTGGCAGGGGAGGGGAAGGTGGCTGTGATGATGGCGAGTGCTGGCAGCAGTTTGAAAATCTCAATTTGTCAGGAGTGAGTTTCATCATGGCCTGTTTGGGTTATGTTTGATATTTGTTCCTGAGGCAACGGCAAGCACAAGAATGCAAGCCTATTCCGGGAAGGTTATTGTTCTGAATCTCTGAATCTTCCTTGGAGATTCTACTGTGGACTCTAAAGGCTCACGAGGAATACCATTTTCCATGGATGCAGCAGGCAATAGCAGACACTGTCAGTAGTAGAAATTTGTGCTCCCTTGAGCACAGATTTAATATTACAAGAGCTTTCATGAGGAATGAAAGGTGAGAAATGCTGTTACTGACTTTGCAAGCATCTTGCTGCTCCTCTAATCTCTCAACACTTTTCCTCACATTCTATCAACTTCATGGGATGGGGGCCAGCATTTATTGCCTATCCCTTGTTGCTAATGAAAAAGTGTTGCTAAGCTGCATTCTTGAACCGCTGAAGTCTGCCTGGTATAGGTAGACCGACAATACCATTTGGGGAGGGAGATCCTGGAGTTTGACCCAGCGGCAGCGAAGGAACAGCAACTTACTCCAGGTCAGGACGGTGAGTGGCTTGGAGGAGAAGTTGCAGATGGTGGTGTTCCCATATATCTGCTACCCTGGTCCTTCTGGATGGAAGTGGTTATGAGTTTGGAAAGTGCTGTCTAAGGAGCTTTGGTGAATTTCTGCAGTGCAACTTTTAGATAGTACTCACTTTTGCTGCTGAGCAAATGTGGCGGAGAGAGTGAATGTTTGTAAGTGTGGTGCCTATCAAGTGGGCCGCTTTGTCCCGAATAGTGCCAACCTTCTTGAGAGTTGTTGTGACTATCCCCTCTCTCTTATGGATTGGTGGGTGGTTGAGGGGAAGGTTGCTCCTCTGCTGATGATGTCACTGATACTATTGCTTTGGATTAGCGTTGGAAATCTGAGACAGAGCTGCAGAGTTTCTCCAGTGAGGCTGAGAAACTGGCAGCTCACAGTCAAGAATGACGTAGCAGAAGTGTCCTCCAAAGCATTGGAGATGATATCAAAAGCATTAAAAACACGCTCTCGGAATTAGTCCTGTGAGCAAAAGCCTTTCATCTAGGTATGGAAATTTTATAATTTAAAGGATTCCTGCCTGCCCCTTCCACTGCTGCTTTAATCTTGGCCGTGTTGTCAATTTTATGACTGATGCATTTCAGACAATTCAGGAAACCCAGAATATAGGATAAATCTTCGATAAATCATCCCTTAGCTTGTGATATCTGTTAACTTGCCAGGCCCGTTAGGGTTTCCTATAAACCTCGAAACACAAGATCGGGAGGTTATTTGGATTATGTTGGATTTTCAACACTTCAAAACTTTTCAATGTTCCTTTGTGCTCAGTATAACGTCACCCAGTGGAGGGTGTTCTATAAGGCTATGGTTGTAGAAAATTTAATATGGAGGCTACATCAGGCTCTGTTGAATCCGATGGTGTTGCATAGTCTTTAGGTGGGGAAAAGCAGTCTAGCACAAGGTATCAATGGAGTCAGATGTGTCATCTCTCTATCTTGATTGTCTTTGACATTATGCCATACTAGTTAAAGTAACGTGTATCTATTGCTATCATGTAATAAAACTACATCTTGCGTAAGACAAGTTTCTCTTCTCCTTAAGATTTATTGGTGGGTTCTCCACCACTGCTAATTTAAAGACTCAACCTCAAAAAGATATGGGCCAGCATTTATTGCCTATCCCTAACTACAAGTCATCAGTGGTTGATATCAAAATTTGACTGAGTTTACATCCTAATTTCCATTTACTCCAGTTTTGATAGACATCCCTTGATGTCACACTCAATCAAATGTGGCCTTAATGTCACTTTCACCTCACTTCTGGAGTTCGGCTCTTTTGTCCATGTTTGGACAAGGCTGTAATGAGGTCAGGAGCTATGCAACTCTGGTGAAATCCAAACTGGGCACCAGAAAGCATGTTTTACTGAAAAAAAAATGCAATTTGAATGTTAATGCAGGAAGACCTACAGAAGGCAGGTTAAACATTTGTATTCTGTTAAAAATATCTGGAAATAAAAAGTGGATGCTGTCAATATATTTCGACAAAGCCAGTTGAACTGGCTCATCAATGTCTTTAACATGTCGGGCAGTATCTTGTTGAGGCAGCAGCAGTCTCATCTGTCAGGCGGAGAGCTGGTGAGAGACCCACACTTCCTCATCCAGGCGCTTCCCCCCACAACCCCATGACCACCGAGATCCTGGGGGTGAAAGTTCTGTCCAGCAAGAGCTGCCAGCCAATCAGAGATTTACCATTACTTCATTCAGCTTTACCACAGAGTAGGTCATGACTGCACTTGGTAGAGCACCCTCTAGGGGCTCAGGATTGTGGAGGGCCCAAGACAAAGGTAAGTGACGTGTGGAGGTTGGGGAAGGGATTTTCTCAGGTTTGGGGTCATGGAAAGATGGGATGAAAGTGCAGTGTGGTACTCCCTTATCCAATATCCAGTCTCTTGATCAGCCTTGGAGTACCTTGGATTGAGCGCTGCCCCTCCCCTGGTTAATCCCACTCACGAGAGGCTGAGGCCCCAACGTGATCCTTAATTGGCCAGTTAAGGGCCTTAGTTGTCAGTGTGATGAGAAAGTCAAACATAGCCCTTTTTGCCCAGGAATTAATCCTGGTGGGGGTGCACAGGTTGCAGCTCTGAGTAAGCCATTGCCTCATCCAATTAAGTGTTCTACCCATCTCCAAGCTCAGAACAGCCTGGTGCAGTGTTTGCACCTCATAATTCTGCTTTCCTCCCCGTTGAGTTGCCAGACCTGCTGAGGATTTCCAATGCTTTCTGTTTCTCTTTCTGTCTTCACTGGGGTCCAATCACATCCCAATGCAGTTGACTCCTGACTGCCTTGAAATTGGCCAAGCACATTACTCAGAGCAACTAAGGGAGAGGCAAAAACAACTATTTTGCTAATGATGACAATGGTAAGAACAGAACACAAGAACATAAGAAACAAGAGAAGGAACAGGCCATTTAACCCCTCAAGCCCACTCCATCAGTTAATAAGCTAAACTTATATGGACTTAACACTCAGAGATAGTAAGAACTGCAGATGCTGGAGTCAGAGATAACACAGTGTGGAGCTGGAGGAACACAGCAGGCCAGGCAGCATCAGAGGAGCAGGAAAGCTGACATTTTGGGTCGGAACCCTTCCCAACCTGAAACATCAACTTTCCTGCTCCTCTGATGCTGCCTGGACTTAACACTATTTTCTTGTCTGTATCTATAACTCTTTACTACTCTTTCAATGAAAATTCTGTCTAATTTGGCCTTGAATATACTTAATGACCTCATCCCCACCCTCTGCTTACTGTGGGGCAGAGAATTCCAAACACTAACTCTCTGAGAGAAGGAATTCTCATCCCTGTCTCAAATGAGAGACCCCTGCTGTAGAAACTGCATTCCCTAGATATCTTTCGAATGTTATTGGAGATATCATACCATTCCTTACTTTGGAAAATGATATTTCTTCATTGGTCTGACTTTGACCTTCTTCCTTTGGTTCTAATAGACATATGAGAGATTCAGATTTCCACTTTATAGAAAAATACCTATGATGCCAGAACTACAATGCACACTCAGTACTCAGCAGATTAAATTTAATGAAAAATATTCATGAGGTTAATGGAATCAGATTTAACACATACTCATCTACAGCCAGATGAGCAAAGTCATAGGTTGAGTGAGATTCATACTGAACATATCATTGCTCTGAATGATTCTCTATTTTTTTTACACCACTCTGGAAATGTCACTGTACTGTGTAAATCATTTCAAGTCCAAAGAAGCTGATCTCAGCAGAATATTAAAAGCATCAACTATTCAAAGATATAAGGGTGTTTTTTGAGAGATTAATATGAACTATAAAGGATGATGTATCTACCAGTGAATTCGGTTATTGCTGCAAATCCACTCAACCTCAGGGTAATGCACATTTGGTTCCATCCAAGCAGCAGGCTACTCTGAATGCTTCTCCATTATGTAAAAAAACTTTATTTTTGTAGGTAGTGTCTCATGATTTTTCAGGTAATTTCCATTGCTTACTCTTGAAAAGCAAGTAGGCAGAATGGTACTGTGGCGCAGAATGGTGGAACTCCATGCCATGTACGGGAAATACTGCACCTGCCCCATGGCACAGGGGAAGATTTCTCCCTGTGTGGGCAATTAAATTATAAACTTATGCTACCTATATTGCAATCTTTGGTTTAAATACTGATTTTGATATAGAGAAATGCCAAAAAGTGGCAGCAGGAAGCTTCCCCCAAATGCAATTCATGAGAATTGAACTGAGGATTGAAAACAAGGAGCAGACTGAGATTGGTGTTGGTGGATCATCAGCAGAAAAGCAACTGTGGATGTTAATCTGCTGAATATCTGCCATTCAATTTTCATTCAGAGCCACAGTGGAAGCTTGATCACACGTCAGCTGGCCAATGAACTAACTGGGTCAATCCAATTGAAGAGGAGATGTGGTTCTTCCTCTTCTTAGGCAGCCCCGCAGGATCAAGGATGACTTTATCCCACTCCAGTTTGGTGGATCCTGAGGTAACTGAATAGCCCTACACTGGATCTGAAAATCTGGTAGGGCAGGAGTGTTTGCTGAAGCAGGTTTGCAGAATGCAAGGGATTTTGTGGACTCCTTCCACTGTTCACCCTTGGCATTCATCTGAGCCTGGCACATATGATTGGCACCTCCAATGAATGCTTCTTTGAGTGGGCTTGGGCTAGAAATTCCCATGAGTCAATGGGGATATTGCACTTTTCAAGGAGCACTTGACAACTTTATTGATGTGTTCCCTTTTTCATCCTGGTATTCATGATGAAGCTCTCCTCCTGCTGCAGTGTGAGGTTTCACTCTCAAACAAAAGGATGATGGGAGGTTTAGCCTCCTTCTGCTTTGCGCACATGGAACACCAGGCACCCAGTTGTAGAATGGCATCACACAGACCCTCAGAAAAGTAATATTGATATTATCACTTGAGGTAGTAGGCAGCCAGCAAAGCTGGCATGGAGTCCATGATGGTCATCTGCACCCAGCAAGTATCTACTGGAAACAGGTATCAATCAGGATCTGTCTGCCTTGTGTATTTCCCAAAGAATACACTTGAATAATAATGAAATGAATAGCCATTGACAGTATGAATTTGTGGATGGGAAATTATGTTTGACAAACTTGTTGAGGTGTTTTGAAGATGTTTCTAATAAAATTGATAGAAAGACGACTGATGATGTAGTATCATTAGAACAAGAGGGCACAATCTAAAAATGAAAGGACACCACTTAGGTCCAAGATGAAGAACAATTTTCAATGGTGGGGCAGAGTCAACAGACTGAATGACCTACTCCTATTCCTATGTTTCTATGATTAGTTAAGCCATCGCAAAGAGAGCTTCCTCAATGTCCTCGAATGACTGATCCTGCTCCCTGCAACTCCTCCGCATCCTGCTGCCAATGCACCCTTCATTGCAAGTCTAAGGTTTCTCAGTGGCCTGCAAGTAGATTGCTGAGGTACCATTTTGGCCTTGAGGGATTGACAGATGTCAATGCCCATGGATGACGGGTGCAAGTGGCTGGTGCCCACGGGGAAAGTGGTAAATGGTGTGGGATTGCATTATCAACCATGACCTCATTGAACAACAGAAAAAACACAAGGGGCTAAATGACCAATTTTTACTCCTGTGTTCCTAATGTTCCACTGAACATCGAACACCAATCTCCTCAAGCACTTAGACTGTATTCTTCCACTACTGCGGCATTACCATAAGACCATTAGATACTTGAGCATAAGTAGGCCATTCAGCCTATTGAGTCTGCTCCATCATCAATGAGATCATGGCTGATCCAATAATTCTGTACTCTACCGCTTTAAATCCATAGCCATTGATTCCCTTACAGATTAAATATCTCCTAAGCCTTGAATAACCTTAACAACCCAGCCTTGACAGCCCTCTGTGGAAAAGAATTCCAAAGATTCACAACCGTCTCAGAGGAATTTCTTCCTCATCTCTGTTTTAGAAGTGCAACCCCGTATTTTGAGGTTATGACTCAAGTCCTGGCCTCTCCCATTAGAGGAAACAACATTTTCATATCTATCCTGTAAAGCCACCTAAGACTTTGATTTGTTTCAATAAGGTCTCCTCTCATTTTTCTGAATCCAACGAGTACAGGCCCAATCTACTCAACCCCTCATAAGAAAATTCCACCCATACCCAGAATCAACTTCTAGAACCTTCTCTGGATTCCCTACAATGCTGGTATTGGATTCTTTAGATGTGGGGACCAAAACTGTTCATTGTTTTCCAGCTGTGGTTTGACTAGTGTCTTACATCATTTGGTCCTTGTGATGGTAGATTAGAATGAAATAGATTTTCTGTGATGAAATCTAACGGCTGAAGTGGACACATTTGCAGTGCTACACAGGATTGTAGGGCGTTGTTGACTCTTCAGGCTGGGTCACATGATATTCTAAATGCTTAGTAATTCTCACATCGCAAAAGTAAAGAAAAGTGGATTTCACATGGGGGCAAAACACTTCTCACCAGCATTAAATGTGGAACAGAAATTCATTACCAAGGTCTGAATTGACTGTAGAGTGAAAGGAAAAGAAACACTTCCATTTATGTATTCCCTTTCATAACCATTTAAAATCCCAGAGTACTTTATGGCCAATTAAATATTTCTACAATTTAGTCATTATTATAATATTAGAAACAGAGTAGCCACATTACACATGGAAAACTCCTACAAACAGCAATGTGATCACGAACATGTCATTTATTTTCTTTGATAAATTTTCATGAAGTTATCTTCTCCAGGGAGGCTCACATAGGCAGTTCTGTTGTCAGTCCATGACCATAGATAGTGATTCATAATTTACTCTGTAAGTGTAGCTTCAATGCAAATTATTCTTGTCTGTAACTAATATAGCCTAACACAACCTTAACTATCCCAAAGTGGCACATGGCCAAAAATACATTTAATTATTAAGTCGATGACTTTTACCTTGACTCTTAATAAGTAAGATATTCATTATCCTCTCATCATCTGTTCCACAGGAAAGCAGTGAAGGCAACTTTGGTTCTGTTACCCCTTCTTGGCATCACTTACATGTTGTTCTTCGTCAATCCAGGCGAAGATGACATCTCACAAATTGTTTTCATTTACTTTAATTCATTTCTGCAATCCTTCCAGGTGAGTAATCTGGCAAGATGAACTGATTGTTTATTAATGATGTGCCTAATGCAATTTGACAAGTGAATGTTTTCCTTGAGTGTTATGTAATTGAAATGTTTTGTAAAGTGTTACTGATACAATTTTCTGTCTAATTCACCCAGACCATTTTTTTTTTTAACAGGGTTTCTTTGTCTCTGTGTTTTACTGTTTCCTGAATGGTGAGGTAAGTTAGATGTGATTTCTTCTAAAATAATTTGATAGCACTGGAGGCCATAAATAATTTTAGAGCAGCTTTTCATTTTGAAATTTTAAATTTGTTGAAGGCAGAGGGTTTAACCTGCTTGAGACAAATGAGTTAAGAGTCTGCAACAAACTGGAAGAAGAAGGAATGTCACTCCAATATGTTTTGCATTTGCCCACTCACAATAGTAGTCCAACAGTAACATTTCAACTCAATTTTTCTTCCAATCCTTTTCACTTTTATTCTGAAATATAGCTGTAAACACTTGCCCATAGCACTGAGTTGTAAAGATTAGGAAATATTAAGAATGGGCCACCATCTACAATCACAAGGAGCAGAGACAGAGGGTGGAATTGTATTGGGCTATGGTGAGATTAGCTAGTGTTGCAGATGCAAACAAGAAATTCAGTGAGGCTTGTCTCAAAGTCAGGAGCATGTCGCGTCATATTTGATGAATGACAATGCGAGTTTCTCACTAAGCAGCAGCGAGATGCCGATTAAGGGGGACTATAGTTGATAAACAATTTATTAGTGGTCAAATTCACCTCATTAATATACAGCTACTACTTTACCAAATGCACCAAGCAAGTTAGACATTGAGCTGTCCTGACATGGAAATCAGAGCAGGTACCTGGCCACTTCTTCCAAAGGGTCTACACACTGGTCATCAGGCACCAACATCTCTGAGTATGCACCATGGCTATGTGCATCCCACATTCTGACAGCCTCAATCAGCCTTATGGCACACCTTTGATTCTCCAGCAGGTCACTCCCACATTTCACTGATTCACGTTGGGCTACACTGGTAGTGCTCATTGTAATGCTGCAGCAAGGACACTATGCATTCAGGGACACACACCCAGTTCCTGGACTGGACCAGGTTGTATCTCCGAGCTGTTTGCTCACATACCTCAGAGTGCTCACTCTGGCCATTGTCAAATCAAGCCATTGTTCAAAGATTTCCTGCACAGTAAGTGAAGGGCAGCTTCCCATACCACTCCAGGGGCTGGCACATGGTCCTTCAGTCACAATCAGGGTGATTTCCACATAACATGTGAGGAGTCGAGTGACAGGCAGTCCTCCTCCCATTTTGATTCTTTTAGCCTGATTGGGGTCTGGTTTCCTCCTGGGATAACAGCGAAGTGGGTATTAAGGGAGATGAATGTGGTTGGCGCAGCTATTAAGTTTGGTGCAAGTGGGGAGGTGTGTCAAGTGAGTAGGCATTGCAGAAGGCAAATAGAGTTGTATTGTTGGGGTCAGTGAGAGTGATTGAGGGGCAATGTTGCAGGCAATATCTTGCGGAATGTGAGTTTTGATGGAAAGGAGATAAAGAAGCAGACACAAGGTGAATGTGAGGTATCAAAGTGAAGAGAGTGTTGCTTATTCTGGCAGAGTGGCAAAGGTCACTACCTTCCTACGACAGCGTTGTGCATTCCTCCAGACGGATGAGACTGCTTTAAAGCAGGTAGCAATCATGGAGCAGGCTGCAATGGTCTGAAATCGTGGCTTCCAATGGTGATGCCAGGGGAGATAGAGATTCCAATGTTAGCACCGCTCGGTCCAGCAGGACCTCTGGCTCCCTGTCCAATGAGCAAGGCACCAATTTCCCCATGTCTGCTACACCTGGGCCAAATGTCAGGAACCACACAAGGCAACTCCAGGTTGACGGAGCTTGTCCGGATGCACAGCAAGCACAAGGGATGCTGGTCTTTTGACGTATAACTGGTGAGTGACAAGTTAAAAGAATGACATGTGGTAAGATAGGAACAGATGCAGACATGCAGTAAACGATACAGAATGCTATAAAAGATGTGATAAAGAAACTATCAATTGGATTCGACAAAGTCCACATGGATTTATGAAAAGGAAGTAATATTGACAAACATAGTTGAGATTTTTGAGAATGTGGCTAGTAAAATAGGTAAAGGTGAACCAGCGGATGTGGTGTATTTGGATTTTCACAAAGCTTTTATTAAAGTCCCTCATAAGACATTAGGATACAAGATTAAATCACATAGAAACAGGGAAATAGAAAAAAATAAGAGCAGGAATAGGTAATTCAGCCCTTCAAGTCTGCTTTGCCATGCAATATGATCATGGTCAGTCATTCAACTCAGTATCCTGTTCCCACTTTCTCCCCATACCCTTTGATCCCTTTAGCCATAAGAACAATATCTAATTCCTCCTCGGAAACATTCAGTGTTTTGATCTCAACCGCTTTCTGTGGCAGTGAATCCCACAGGCTCACCGCTCTCTAGGTGAAGACATTTCTCCTCATCTCAGTTCTAAATAGCCTACTCAGTATCCTTAGACTATGATTCCTGTTTCTAGACTCCCCAGTCTTTGGAATCATCCTCTGTATTGATCAGTTAGAATTTTATAGATTTCTATGAGATCCTCCTTCATTCTTCTAAACTCAAGTGAATGTAGAGTCACAGAGTCATACTGTCTAACTAGTCCACAATATGGTCCTCACTGATCCAGTCTGTCTTCATATGTTAGTCCTGCTTTCCCAGGAATCAGTCTGGTAAACCCTTATTGTACTCCCTCTATTGACAGAAAACCCTTCCTCAGATAAAGACATCAAAACTGCACATAATACTCCCAGATGTGGTCTCACCAAGGCTCTGTATATTTGCAGCAAGACATCACTGCTCCTGTACTCTAATCCTCTCATTATGAAGACCAATTTATCATTTCCCTTCTTCATCACCCGAATGCAGCAATTTCAGTGTCTGGTGGACAAGGACATCCAGGTCTTGTTGCACCTCCTCCCTTTCCAAATCTCTTACTATTCAGTAATAATCCTTCTTGTTTTTTTTCCACCAAAATAGATATCCTCACATTCATCCTACACGATACTTCATCTGTCCACTTATACATTTGTCCACTGACTCAGCTTATCCAAATCACACTGAAGCATCTCTGCATTCTTCTCACAGTTCACCCTCACACTCAGCTTTGTGTTGCCTGCAATCTTGGAGATATTAGATTTGATTCCCTCATCTAAATGTGATAGCAGTCCAAGTACTGATCACTGTGCTACCCCAATAGTCACTGGCTGCCATTCAGAAAGAGACCAGTCCTACTCTTTGTTTGCTGTCTGCCAACTAGTTTTCTATCAATGTCAGTAACTACCCACAATCCCATGAGCTTTAATTTACATGCTAATCTCAAATGTGGGACCTTATCAAAAACCTTCTGAAAGTTCAAATAAATCACATTCACTAGTTCCCCAATCAAGTCTACTAGTTACATCCTCAAAATGTTCCAAT